TCCTCTCGATTTTCTATTCCCCCCAACATTAGAAAAGCCAAGTTTCCCACAAGTACCTGTAGTTTTGTGAAACAAACATATAAGTATAGCTAATTGCCTACACCACAAACGAATCTATGGCAGAGCAAGCGGAATTATCAGTAGTAAGCAAGTTATGCAAAATGATGTCATCACCTAAAAGAAGGGAAATAGCCAAACAAACAAACACACACGCATAACTACACCACAAAGCTTCTAATTCATGGAGTTGTTTTTTCTTTTTGCTTTGAAGAAGCCTAGCAAAATGTTCAACTCGAACAACTTGAGTCTATTTAAGGCATTAGAGAATAACAGATAAAGTAATTAAGAATTCCATTGGATACATGAAAGACCGGCCGTCTTTCGCCGTCTGCTGCCCAACATTCCACGGCAGATGTTTTTTTTTACTCAGACATTTCTATATACTTCTCGCTCTACACCTCCTTTTCTACTAACCTACCCCTCAACATTTTACAGTTACATGAAGAATATATAAACCGCACCCAAAGGCCGAATCTTTTCTCGAGTAGCTACATAATTGTGTATACAGCTTTTTTTGCCAGCCAACCAACCTACTATTTTACTACTTTTCGTCGTTCGCTAAAACCAACAAGAGAAACTAAAAGAAAGTAGCAAAGCGGCACCGCCCGGCTTTTCTTCTTATCGAAATATGATTCATTCCGGTGCTGCTGCTGCCGCTGATGGTGGTGGTAATTGCTAAGCAAATTTAAATTCATTTTTGCCATCTATCTTGTATGCTAACTTTCGTGTTATAGAGTGCTGCAAAATCTTAAAAATTTTCGCTACAACTGTACTTGAGCTTATTTTGCTGCTAGCTGGCTGCTTGCTCTGTTATGCTCTTGATATTCGTTTTTTCTTTTCTTTTTGCTTCTATAGGTAGTTTCTTTTTTTTCTTTTGAAAAACTTCAGCGAACAATAATTTTAGATACCGGCCAATTTGTCGGTTTAATAGAAGAGAAAAAAAAAACAAGTTTTGCACATTGCGGCGTCACCACATATAAAAATAGCGGCATTATTAGCAGCAAAGAAGATAGTGCTACAAAATGGCGACTGCCTGCCGCTTCAACATAAAAGTGGAAATTTAAAGAGAAAAACTAACGCACAACCTTTCACTTTTGCAAAAAAAAATATATATATACAAAAACACAAAAATAAAAGATATTTTATCTTTTGTTTGTTTGTACATACCTTAGCTCCGATTTGGTTTCCGCATTGACCGGCTTGAATGTGTACAATTTCCCTCATTTTGAAGTATTTGGTTTATTTAATAAGTTACAATATATAATAAAAAATGCAAATTTGACAAAACTTTCTACGCACAACCACAATGGCGAACTGTCAAACACTTTCTGAAATAAAGAACCCGAAGCGATTTGCTTTTATGCACAGCAGCAACGCCCAAGCAATTGCGCCAACGCCAACGCTTTTGCAGAGCAGAATGCTGCTTTGCAGCAACAGGGTTGTATTTGTGAAATTTCTACTACGTTTTGCCAGCAACAGAGGACAGAGTCGTGTTTGACGTGTTAAACAATGTGGCAATACTGTTATAAAAAATACGGCATTTCTTTAATATTACATAGTCCGGTTCATGGCATAATAATGAGTAATTGTGCCATCATAAATATATAACAGCAATGATTTCATTTATTAAGCATGGAATATAATGAAATATAAAGATGCCCGCAGGGTCCGCAATTTATATTATGTATCTACAATACCCTTATTTAATACAAATTTAACAAATAACAGACTTCAATATAATTTATCCATTGCTCAATTAGAAAGGTTGCTCAACTTCGAAGAAACTACAGAAATACAGACCTGAGGCTATGCCCGCTTCCTTTCAGACTCATTCAAAATTATATTATTTTTAAAGTGAGTTAAATGAAGGGAAAACCGAATGAATTTTCGCTCAAAAATATGATCCAAACTGTTCAATCTTTAAATTTCATGGCTAAATTGGTTAATAGCTTTAATGCGCGAGCCGCAATCTGCATGTCTTCCAAATATTGCTTTTGAAAATATTTTGTTTTCATTTTTCAAAACAATAAATACATACACAAAAAAATTGTAATCAGCTGGTAGCTCTACCTTACCTTTTTATTGTTCCTGTTCTTATACAAGTTTATTATACACAATTCAGAGATGAGAAACCTAGTTTTTATGCAATAAAATTTGGCAAGGCAAATTACACAAAATGACTTTACCTTCTTGATATAACGTCAATAACGTGTTTTCAGATTGGGATAACCAGCTCCGCATTTTTTGCAATTTACCTTACTCTTTTGCAGAATCTGCATTAATTTATTACATTATAATTTTTCGATATAAAAGATAAATCGTTTATCATATACTCTGTTACAGAAATGTAAGAACATAAATGTTTTTACGATACAATACCCCAATGAAAATCCTTAAAAATGCTAGGTAGTAAGCAAAACATTTAGTCTAGTATGAATATCGCATCGACACAGCTCCTGGGACAATGAACTGTTAAAACAATTTTGGAATTGAAAATTTAAATTTGTAAAATGATTGAAATTTGTAAAATATTTCGAAAAATGCATATGATAATAATCTTCGATTAGCTTCGTATAAGAAACCGCATCTAATGCATCTACCTGCATTCTTCTACCATGGGTGCTATGAATTAGGTGACAGTTATTCCACTACCCACTTATCATATTTACGTTACGTGTACGTTACTGAAATGACTAATTCAATTTCCAACAAAATGCCGACTATCTTCTGATGAATAATATTCCAACAACAAGGCGGCATTTTCACAACTTGAAAAACCAATTAAAAAAAAAAACCATGAAGTGTTATTGCCCATAATATTGTTCCATTCCCCAGGCTCCCACAGAAATAAGTCGATGCAAAATGGATAGCCAATATAAGGCATTGAACAAAGAATTGGTGAAAGAAGTCACGTCAATGAGGATGACTGTGGCAGATTATCGAACTGAAATAGTTCATCTGAGGGCAAAACTATTGGAGGCTGAAACTATTGTTATCAGAATGAGAACGAAGTGCTCTTCACTTCTAAAAAGTTTCTTCAAAGATGAATTGGAAATTTTAGACCCCAAATCACCTCTTTTGGAATATTTAAAACATGGGATGCAAACAGTATGCAGTGGTAGGCGAAGCACTCTCTTGGCGGAGGAGACAAGACGATCGAGTTCTGTTATTCAAACACCCAGATCTTTCAATTCTACATCGCCCGTTCGTTCTCAAGCTGATGAACATGAAATGTTAGAAGAGAGTCGGTTAGGATAACTTCTGTAAGATAGTAAGTTTCACATAAATAATAATAAATTTTTACAGAAATGTGGAAGAGTTTGGAATAATTATGGAAGAAATTGAACCCATTTTTGATGCTGGAGAATCGTAAGTACCAAGCACTTCCATATCTGCCACATTATTTAGTTTGTTATCAAAATTTTAGCATTGATGAAACGACACAAAGAGATATAAGTAAATACATGGCAAATATGTCTATGGCCTCCAACACTGACTCAAATGACGATGAGATAGAGCCAGAAGTTCATACTTTGAAAGATGTGACGAATACAATAAATGGAGTTGGGACGTCACCAACAGGGCGGGAATATGTTACTTTAGCCAGAGGCAGATATCGATGCACACCAGCTACACACAACCACATTGAGAGTGATATTGAAGTTGATGAAGTCCGACATTACACGAGTTCAGAAAAAGTGTATCCCTTCTCAACATATTTGCCAATGACCGCTAATGACAGTAAGTCGTTTTCATATGTTTCACCTTTATCTGACTTTTACTTATTTACAGTTGAAATCGGTGACAGTTCATCACAGGATACTTTCTTAAACGGTTCAGCTACTGAAAATTTTCTTAGGGAAAACAGTAGTACTCCAAGTACCATGGAAGAGAACTCGCTAAGAAGGCCACAAAGAAAATGCAAACCAAAATCGCTGAAAGAAATGTTGTTAAATGCTAAGTTAAGAAGGCCATGATATGTTGACGTATACTTAAAGGCTTTTCAATACTTTGTTTTCATATTTACTGTAATATGTCGCTCAAATCTAGTTCTAAAACGTACATCGGTAAATTTGGAAGATGTACAGGACAATTATATCGGAAAAGACTTGTTTTCCAGTTTTTGTCCACATTTTGCATGATTTGCTCATACTTATTGTAAGCACTTAATTAAGAATAAATTATATGTATATTTTATACGGATACATAGAGACATCTGCTGTTTTTTTTAACATTAGTCTAAGCAATAAATGTAATACGTACTACACACATTTCTTTTGCTAAGTATAACTGAAAGTCATATTTTCTCATTTTTTCAGTTTAATCAGCGTTTTTCAACAATTTTTACAAATTTGAATAATTTTTCATTCAAATTTTTAAATTCCAAAAATTGTTTGACAGTTCATTTCACCAGCTGCCGTGTGCATGCGTCTACCTGTAGATTCACCTGTTCCAGAATATAAAATATTTTAATACGATAACGAAATAAATAATCTGGTTTAAGATTGGTGTTTAAATGCTTTTTTGTTTGTTCTTTTAATTTCTCTCAAATTCCCCATCTGTGGATAGCCAACGATTTACCCAGCTTTGGGAAATACCCAATACCGGTAACACTGTTCATGGGTCAAATTTAATTTGTAACTAGTTCCGCGCTCTTTTAGTAAATGTGTCTCATTCATTCGTTTCGTTGGGGACGCCTTTCATTTTAGTTTCCCACGCGCGCATTCGCTCTGTTCTGCAACAACATAACAGGACAAAAGTGCGCGCGCTTTAAATTCTCACCTTAACAAGAACATTGGAATTGGACACATTAGTTGAACAGAAATTTGAAAATACCGTGAGTAAAGTAAGTCGAACAATCGACTATGTGAATAGTCGAGTACTCGGTTTTCACCCAAGTCTATAGTCGAGTTTCACTTTGAGTACCAGAAGTCGATTATTCGATTAATCGAAAGTCGACTTACTAGAAAGCAGAGAAAATAATTTTTGATCGCTGTTGCTGCTGTTTTGTTTAACCATGTCGTCGTCTTTGAAATTAGTAGCTTACGAAAAACTATAAACTATTGTTGTAAATGTAATGAAGACTATTAGCATTCCGTTTTATATTTAGTAAAATTTTCTCGTCGTCTAAAACATGGAGGTAAATAGTGTTTCTACAATGACTATCGACTTGTTGCAACATTCAACACACCTGCCACAAACACGTACAAACAAACACTTCTTATTGGAGTTGAACTTGCCACGAAGAGAACTTGCCACGCAGAAACAAAAGTATTTTCTGGCTGGCTGGCCAATTCGAAATCAAGTCATCAAATCGTCGATTGATTGTGAATAAAAACTAAGACAATACAATTACCGTTATTTTATGATACGACGAGATACAATGCGTGTGTTTATGTGTGTGTGTCTATATTTATGTTTTCTCTTGTTTATTTAGATAGGTAATAAAAAACCTTTATGTTTTGTCCCAATTAATACGCTGAGCGATGTCCAACCAATACGTTGCTGTTCATTCAGTGAAGATGGTCTACTCTATGCTGTGGGTTCCAATTCGAAAACCTTACGAATTTGTCTCTATCCCCCACAGATCAACAATATAAGGTAGTTATTGTGTGTTAATCTTTACCTTTCCCCTAATATTGTCTAATATATTTTGTTTTTAGTAAACCAACACAAACGAGCGTGATTTTTAAACGTACCAAACACCACAAGGGATCGATCTATTGCTTATCGTGGTCTAGGGATGGACAGTTTATTGCCAGCGGTTCCAATGACAAAACAATTAAAATTATCAAATACAGCAGTGAAAACAAGCAGCTGGAGGGTCGCGAATTGGAGCTGACCATGCACGATGGCACTGTTCGGGATTTGTGTTTCATGAATGAATCCTCAACAGAGAGAAAGGTATTGGTCAGCGGTGGTGCTGGAGACTGTAAAGTGTATATAAGTGATTGTGGTGTTTTAACACCAATGCAGGCGTATGCTGGACATTCTGGTCATATATATTCGTTATATAGCTGGGAGAACAATATGGTTGTAACCGGATCACAGGTATGAGTCGAATAATTAACATTTCACAGAATAAAAACTAAGGTGGTGGTTTGGATGCTTCACTCTCTAGTATTACTTTTATCAAATGATCCGCTAATGAATCCCGAAACATATTCATCCAATATTCCTATTTCCGAATCTAAAGGATAAAACCGTTCGTTTTTGGGATATACGTGTTCCAGAATGTATTAACAGCGTATTGCCCGGTAGCTATTATGATGCAATGGGATCTCCCGTGACAGCAGTTTGTGTTGATCCAACGGGCAGGCTATTGGTGTCAGGTCACGAAGATGCCTCCTGTGTGCTACACGACATTCGTCGTAATCGCCAAATTCAATGCTTCCAACCCCACTCTGCAGATATAAGGTATGTTGAGGAATTCTACTTTGATCCAGCCTAGAATTTATCTCATCTCTTTTTTTAGATCAATACGCTTTTCGCCCTCGGCCTACTACTTGCTTACATGTGGTTATGACAATAAAATAGTTCTCACCGATTTGCAGGGCAATTTAACTTTATCCCTACCATCCGTTGTGGTAGGAGAGCACAGTGACAAAGTTATATCGGCTAGATGGCATCCCAGAGATTTCTCAATATTGACAACATCGGCTGATAAAACTGCCAAATTGTGGGCTATACCAAATATCTAAGAAAGATAAGGTACTCTATACCAAAAACAAGATAAAAATGAGCAAGAGGTATGGATGGACGTCTAGATGTAACATATAAGCAATCAAAAAGTCTGTTTAGTAATAAAATGAATCAAAACATTTCCAGTTCTTATTTTTCAACCAACAAACTTCTTTTGCCTAGATTTTAAGTTTATTTATTTTTCTGCCAATCTTTAAATAAAATAAAAAAAAAACTAAAGAAACAAGACAATGACTTTTGACCCTTAAATACCATAAAAACATATTAAGTAAACAACACCTTCGTGTTTGGTTAGTTGTATTATTATTTGCACATTACTTTATTAAGTGATTTTTGTAGAATAAACCTATAACAATTCATACTGACGAAGGTGCATTCTTTGAATTATGTCTCGACAATCATTGAATACTCGCTTGATATTCTCAGTATCTACAGCACATGTAAAATGGGGATAGCAATAATGTTTCCCATCACCACTAGCAGTAGAGATACGCTAAAAAATGTACAAAGCCAATTAGAATGGATAAATATAAATAAGGAATACAAATGTCGATGGCGTACCAAAAACTCATCACGTATGAAATACTTAGCTCTTATGACTTCAGGATCATCTCCGGACTCGATTATTGCATCACCTAGGGAGGATAAGAAAATGATTGATTACGGCATGCCAAATGTTATCAAGTTTTTTTAATCTTACTTGGTGTTTGATATTTATTGAACTCGGCAAAATAATCCGAGAGTTTGCTTTTTCCAGCTTTTATTTTTTCAGCTAACAAATCTTGTTTGTTGAGAAATAGAATAACAGATATTGTGCGCAACCATCTAAAAGTACATAAAAGCAGATTAGTTATTACCAAAATCCTCTCGTCGACCTTCAAAAAGCAGTTACCTATTATTCCAAATGCTTTTAAATAATTCCAAGGATTCCCGTAATCGATTTTGTGTTGGATCCTCACGTAAAACCATATTATAGCTAGAACATGCGGTCACAAATATAATTGCAGTAACGTCATTAAAGCATTGTATCCACTTTCGACGTTCGTCCCTTTGGCCTCCCACATCAAACATGCTGTAGAACAATTCAAAGAAAAGGAATATTTAATTGCGGGCCATACAAACAAATATAGCGAAAACTTACTGAAAATTGACTTTGTCAACTTGAAATCTTGTTTCAAAAATACCAGAAGTTAGTACACGACACCGCAATATATCCTGTTCATTAGGTGTGTAGTTGGGTTGTTTTATTATGCTTACTCGATCCAGAAAGCTGAAGTAAATTAAAAAAGGAAAGTAGTTAATTTTCAATTGGCCTTTCGTTTTGAGTTGCATTGCATCTCTAACTTACTACTTTGCACAATCAATTAATTGATATTCATTTGATCTTTCATAAGTCGCCAATACACCTCTATCCTTCCACAATTCTTCTGTGTGCTCATAAAATTCAGGAGGATAGTTGAAATCAGGACCTGCATTTGAAAATAGTAAAAAATAAATCGAATTCAAAACAGTTAATTTTTAAACGTGTTTTCTCTTAAAGACATACTCGAAGCATAATCCTGTATGTACTCGACTCGGATCTCGTTCTCCTTCTTCTCTAAAGGTATAGGTGGATTCAATGTGCTCATTGCACCAGTAATAGTCTGTGGAATTAAAATGGAAAAGGGAACATTAAAAGTGTTAATTGAAATGTATATGAGAGCTATATCCAAATCTGATCTGATCTTGAAAAAATTTGGCAGAGGTATTTCTGGGCTGTATCTGATATCTGGTACCAAATATCATTGTTGTGAAGTGCTTATTACGAATGTAGGGAAATTAAACAACAAATCGGATTAAACATATGCTTGGGAGCTATAGCTATATCTGAACCGATTTTCGATTTTTTATGTACCTGCTTCTAGACTGAATTCGGCCGGGTGTACTAAAATTTCATTTCATTTCATTTATTTATTTATATGTTGCAATGAAAAAGCCATTAGGCCAATAAGTATCACAACTATCAAAACTACAAAAGTGTACTCCAAAATAAAAAAAAAAAAAACATCTTAAAAATATTACATAGTGTATCTTAAAGTAACCTAAGAAATCATATGTAAAATATGGACAAAAAGGCTCCCCAGCCAATGAAAATAAATTTAAGTCTATTGCTGGTAATAAAAAAAAACAATATTTAATCAAACGATACAGTATCGTCAATATCATTAACAAACAAATTGTTAACCTCCATTTGCCTCTACAAAGTTTTCAAACATGCGGCGAAAAACACCGCGGGAAAACGAGAATTGTCGTAGCTCAGCTGGAAGCTGATTCCAGATTCGTGCGGAACGAACTATGAAAGATCTTTCATATAGAGACGTAGAAAAATGAGGGAAAATTATTTGCGTATTCCTAGTAGACCGAGAGAACACTAGCCGATCTCGCTGAAAACCAGGAAGATTTAAACAGATACATTTATATAGAAATGAAACCACGCGTTGTTTAACAAAAGTAGAGAATGACACTCCTAAAAAGAGGACTGCATGCGCAGAAATATGGTCAAAACGACGCAAATTATAAACATATCTTACAATGATGTTAAAAAGTTTTTCTAATTTCATTAAATACTCATGTGTTGTACCAGAAATCACTTCAATACAGTAGGAAATTACCGAAAATAACATAGAATGAGCAAGATTTCTCTTTACAAATAAGGGCAAATAGAAATCAGTTGAGTGTAATTTTCGGAGCATATTTATAACTTTGGGGTACAGTGCATCAATATGCAAAGAAAAATCAAGCTTGGCATCAAGAACAACACCTAAACAATTTATGCGGTCAACAACAGAACATTTGGTCAAATATTGGTCATTTGGTACACAATTAACCCGAAATCGCTTGAAGATATATGGGAGCTGTATCCAAATCTTAGCCGATATCGATAAAATTAGGCAAAGGTATTTCCGAGCTCTATAGGATATCTGGTAACAGATATCATTGTTGTGAAATGGATATTACGAATTTGAGGGACTTAAACACAAAATCGTATAAAACATATATAAGGGACCTTTTATCATCAAATTTGAAGTACCTGCTTCTAGACTGAATTCGGTTGGATGAACCAAAATTCAGGACATTTGACCAAATATTAGCCATTTGTTGCACAATTAACCCGAAATCGGTTGAAGATATATATGGGAGCTATATCCAAATCTGAACCGATCTTGATGAAATTTGGCAAAGGTATTTCCGAGCTCTATAGGATATCTGGTACCAAACATCATTTTTGTGGGGTGCATATTGCGAATGGAGGGAACCTAAACACCAAATCGGATGAAACATATATAGGGGAGCTGTAGCTATATCTGAACCGATTTTCTTCAAATTTGATCTTGATGAAATTTGGCAAAGGTATTTCCGAGCTCTATAGGATATCTGGTACCAAACATCATTCTTGTGGGGTGCATATTGCGAATGGAGGGAACCTAAACACCAAATCGGATGAAACATATATAGGGGAGCTGTAGCTATATCTGAACCGATTTTCTTCAAATTTGATGTACCTGTTTCTAGACTAAATTTGGTCGGATGTACAAAAAATCAGGACATTTGGCCAAATATTGGGGATTTGGTGCATAATTAACCAGAAATCGGTTGAAGATATATATGGGAGCTATATCCAAATCTGAACCGATCTTGATAAAATTTAGCAGAGTTATTTCTGGGCTGTATCTGATATCTGATGCATCATTCTTTTGGGGGTGCATTTTACGAATGTGGGGAACTTAAACACCAAATCGGATGAAACATACATATGGGAGCTGTAGCTATGTCTAAACCGATTTTCATTAAATTTGATGTACTTGCTTCTAGACTGAATTCGGTTGAATGTGCCAAAATTCAGATTATTCGGACTTATATTGGCAATTTGGTGCACGATTTACCCGAAATCAGTTGAAGATATATGCGTGCCACATCTAAATCTGATCCGATTATCGCCATTTTCAATAGGGTTCGTCCTTGGGCCAAACAAATATTGTTTGGAAAATTCCATCTCAATCGGATAATAAATGCAACCTGCACATGGACAAACGGGCTTACGTGCATAAATCGACTCAGAAAGTGATTCTATGAAGATCGTCAAAAGTTACTATGAGTCTATCTCGCTTCCTTCTCCCTGTTACAAACAAATGCACAAAGACATAATACTCTTACCCCTATGTGGTGTAGGGTATAAAAATCCTTCATGTATCCTCGCCATACGCACAGTCTAGGTATATAGATATTCAAAACATAATCCAAGCACTCACCAAGATAGCATCACGGATATTCTTTTTGATGTCGTCGATTTTTTGTTTTTTCTCCTGCTCCGAAAATCCATCCACGTGCAATATACGCATCTGCTTGACAATTGTCGATTTCCCAGATTCACCAGCTCCTAGCAACAAAAGTCTATGGGTGGCCCTATAGAGCTGTTTGTCCTTTTGTAGTTGTTTGGAAATTGCATCGCTGCGTCGTTTCTGGCTCCTCGTGTCTTCGGAATTTATGTCGGATTGCTTGGAGCTGGGTGAACCAAAGCAGCCCATTGCAGACCAAGGAATCCACCAGCACGCTTCTCTACCTTCTTGTGTACCGTCGGGAGACTCGGCGCCCCCGTTTTCTTCGTTTTGAGCCAGTCTAAATAAAGCTGCTCTGGCCTCGGAAAGTTTTCTTAAATATTGCTCGGTTTAGTTAGCCAGTTTGGTAGTTGTTGTTTTGCTTAGTATATTGTAAGCGTAGCTTCTCTTTGCTTTTCTTGTTGTTGCTTTATATCCTGCTGCTGCCTGTCTGCCTTGTTGTTTGTCTTTCGCTTTCGTGCCAGTAGTAGTCAAAATGTTGCAAAGTAATGTGTAGTAATCTATGTAGTCTTCCTCCCCAAGGTCCCCCGGTTTTGTGTCTATTCTTTGTTTTGTGTCTTTCAGAAGCTTTAGGTACAGTCGATTAGATTTGTGCAATGAAATTTGTGCTATGTTAAATCTGAAAAGAAAGAAGGACATCAAAATATGCAGTTAAGCCATTAATCAAAACATAAGTAAATAAACAATTATGGGCTGACTAAAGCAAGGCGTTTGCGCCAAAGTGTATGCGTTGACCTCTTCCTGTAACAGGTTGTAGGTCATAGCGACAACTCATTTTAAACAACAGAGCAGAATTGAGGCTTACATTCCAATAAGACAGTGGTCAGTATCTAGTTGGAAATAGCTACAATTAGAATTCTTAACAATAATTTGTTCGGGGGACTTCAACGTCCTTGTGTAATCACCAACTTCAACATTTGCCCCAAAAACTGGCAAGTAATTTATTGATTTCAAAATATCAATTTCACACCTGTCACAATGCTATAACCAAAAATTGACACTTGACTAGAAAACTCCCTGCAAAACTTGCTCAAAAGTACCCACAAAGGTATTGAAGAGGAGCCTGTCATTATGTGTAGATACATAGGTTAGTATATACATATATACCTATATATGGGGGACTTTGTAAAAGAAACTCATGGATATTTTTGATTTTTCGATGATAAATATTCACTTGCATGGTCTATGGATATTTTTTGGAAACATTTGGCAGGAATTTATTTATTTTGCCTTTATAACAAACATAACAAAGTTACAACTTCAGAGATCCAAATACTTGTAGAGACAGACGACACACACGTCTTTGGCATAACAGTATTTCTGTTGTACCTACACCTTCTTCTTGCCATATTAATATACACACACCCTTCACCACCCTCCGAAAATTTGTACAATCAAGTAGTAGCAGCAGCAGTAGCAGCATGACAGATATTGAAAACCAAACCCAACTAGCCAGCCAAGCAGCCAGTGAGTTAAGCAGCAAGCTAATAAACTACTCAACTCCTCGCTATGACAATGAAGTAATATCTTTTCAAAGTGAAATTTTTTTTAATTTATTATTCAATAAGTAAGCCCGATAAATTAATCCCCAAAAATTGGAAAAATATGAATACGACGATTATCTCTGCCTACGCGCCTGTGTCTAAATACATACACTCTATACACTTTTATGTTCGAGGGGTGTAAAAATTTGCGTACGGACGGTCGTTCGGTCGGTAGAAAGACATTATTAACCGTGTGCAGCTTCCTTGTCTTTCTATAACAGCATTTGATGGAATTTTGTTTCTATTTTTCCACATATTTTTGTTCTTTTTTTTTTGAATTTGTCGGATTTTGGGAGACACCATCAGATAGCTGCTACATAATTGTTGGCGATTTTTTGTCGTTTCTTCTACTATAAATCATATATATATGTAGTCGAATATATAACAAAAAAAGAATATATGTACACACATATGTACATATATGTTGTTAACTTTTCTACTTTTCTAAATGCGTACCGAAGAAGAGATTCACATTCGTCGTTAATTTAGCGCATTTCATTCTAATTCTTTTATTTCATTTCATTTCACTTTTACATTTCCATTTTTTCTCTAACCTCTTCACTTTTCTTTTCGTTTTGGACGACGTTTTATGTATATATGCAGCATATATATAAACATTTTATCTTTATGAGGAGAGCAGCCAGCAGCAATTATTGAATGGATATAGTTAAAAATATCATATCATTAATAAAATAATTGTCTCGATAGAGGCCGTCCCGTCCGTTATGGCAAACGACAGCACGAAAGGACGGCGAAGAGCACACACAAATCTAATAAGGTACACATAAATTTGGAAGCACAATAAATCGTGTTTGAACTACTGACAGACACCACCGAAAATAGTTCTTTCTTTGCAATTAAATATCTTGTCTTCTGCCTACTACTAACCAACTAACCAACCAACAAACCTGCCAGCCAGCAGTGTATATAGATATAAATTATTAATATTTTCTTCTCTTTTATTTATCTTCTTGGTTTTGTTGGTTGGTTGGTTGATTGTGTGTTGGGGAGTATGGAGAGCAAATGAATTGACACCAGAATCTATATACTTTTTTCCGTTGTGCACCAACTCTAAACTGAACATCTATTTACACATTGGGCGATGGCAGCTGGAATTTAATTATTTATTCATGTCACCGAACTGTTTCGGTTAAAGATTTGTTTTAATTTTGAATGAGAAAATATTTTTACGATTTTTTACTCACTTTCTTCCGAGTTTCTATGTATTCAATAAGGGATGCCTAGATCGACTTTTGACTGTGTTGCCAATTAAAGAAAAGAAACTACGGCAAAGAGGAACAAAGTTAAAAGTGCTACCAATAAGAAAGACATTTTAAGGAGGAGCGCCTGCAAATCATACGGTGATGATAGCTCAGGGTCTTTGCTTATCGCCGTAAAATGATAACATGGTTTCATAAAATATTTGATTATTTGAAATATTTAGCACGCTAGGAGCAAGACTTTTGCCATCTTTGTTCATGTTTTTATACTTATCTCTTTTGCAAGTAGCATCTCACAATACAAACGTGTAAGACAGTAATAGTTCTAAATTAAGTTAAACATTCACAGTACATATTTTGTTATCGAAATGAAATAAGTCTCAATAAATCGATTACTTACTAATTACTTACAATTAGACTCAAATGCAATCTAATTCCACGAACTCAAATAATTTCTTATCAGAATCATGGTGCAATAAAAAGGTAAGGTGGAGCTACCAGCTGATTACAATTTTTTTCTAAGTGTGCCCGACTTTTGTCAAATTTGTGTATGTATTTATTGTTTTGAAAAATGAAAACAAAATATTTTTAAAACCATTGATACATTGCGGCTAGCATTAAAGCTATTAACCAGTTTAGCCATTAAATTGAAAGATTGAACAGTTTGAATCATATTTTTGAAAGAAAATCCAGGCTTTTTATTAATTTTTCGCGCTATAAAATCGTTTTTAGAAATGCGGGAAAATATGGAAAACAATAAAATAAAACAACTTCTTGTATATAAATTTGAATTTTCCGTATTTTACCTTGTTAAACTTCACTGCGTAGAAAACAGGTTCCCATCTCTGATATTTGTAAATACAATGGATTTATATCATTTGACAATGGAATATAGTCAAATTAGACATTTTGAAAAAACAATTTAAACTAATTATATCACACACTTTACCTTCTTAATTTTACCATGGTATAAGGTAAAGTTAAATAAAAATCCAATCTAATATGGACATGTAGGAGATGGCCGTTATATCTGACCTTAATTATAATAAAACAATTTAAACGTATTTTCAAATATAAGTAGATTTTCATATGTTTTCTTATACGACATCATTCGGAGATTATTTTCATTCAAAATTTTCAATTCCATAATTGGTTGGTAGTACATTGTCCCAGCAGCTGTGTCGATGCGTCTACCTATATTCTTCTACCATGGGTTCCGCACACAACTAATTGCTTGAAATAAATGTCATGAAGCATCGACTTCTTCGCCTAATAATGCATAGCATTTATTTAATTAAATTACCGTGTGTGGACTGGGACTTAATTGAAGTTTGTATCTATACTATATTGTTAATAATAATATCTATACTATATTGTTAATAATAATCCGTGTGTGGACTGGGACTTAATTGAAGTTTGTATCTATACTATATTGTTAATAATAATAATTCTTTCAATTATCTCTACGCCTGAAGAGGTAACTATATCACAATGTGCAAAACAAAAGAAATAGCATATCAATCAATCATCAATATTAATATAAGCTTAAATGGACAAAATATTGATGTCTTCTTTGTAAATGTGGCCTTAACTGTATGAAACAATGGGACTAACAAACAAGTTGTACAATATTTCATGCCAAAAAATCACTCAACAAAATGTGGCCACATTGCATTCCATTTGACATTCCACTGAAGAATAATTGACTATTTGACAGATAGCTGAACAGTAACTGGCGTGGTAAAGATTTTCTTTCTTTTCCTTTTCCGATTTCAATATGACGGTGCGTGTTGTGCTTTATTTTTTTTAGTTAAAATTTGCTGAATATGGAATTGATTTAAAATATGTGACATTATTTCTGTGTTTTGTAGGCCGCTAAAGACAGTGGAAAGAAGATCAAGAGAGATCCCGCTAAGAACCCTATGCGCGATCTGCACATCAGAAAATTGTGCTTGAATATTTGTGTCGGTGAATCTGGTGATAGATTGACCCGTGCCGCTAAGGTATGAAGGTGTTGTTGTTCAATGCATGTGTGTGGTGTTTCTAAATAAATGTGTTTTTAATTTTTTTGTAGGTGCTTGAACAATTGACTGGCCAACAGCCCGTTTTCTCCAAAGCCCGTTACACCGTGCGTTCATTCGGTATTCGTCGTAATGAAAAGATTGCCGTCCACTGCACAGTCCGCGGTGCCAAGGCTGAAGAAATCTTGGAAAAGGGCCTTAAGGTTCGTGAATACGAGTTGAGACGTGACAATTTCTCCGCCACCGGCAACTTCGGTTTCGGTATTCAGGAACACATTGATTTGGGCATCAAATACGATCCATCCATCGGTATTTATGGTTTGGATTTCTACGTTGTGCTCGGTCGCCCAGGTAATAATATCCACATTTTGAAAAAAAAAAAAAAAAACAAAACAAACAATTGTGATTACAACCCGCACTTAATTAGGTGTTTTCAAAACATTCACTTTATTGTGAAATATATTCATTCTGTAAACACTCAGTCAATGTGCGCATAAAAATTACATTGTAAGGCAGAGGCGCTCAATGTGTATACAAACATATCATGTTTGAATGTGCACGGTGTTTCTTTCTACAAGTTACCCAACGAAAAAATACGATCTTGATTTGTTTTCTTCGACATCAATTAATTTGGCAATATTGGTATTAACGAATTATTTTCTTTTGTTTCTAGGTTACAACGTTGCCCACAGAAAGCGCAAGGCCGGCACAGTTGGTTTCCCTCATCGCCTCACCAAAGAAGATGCCATGAAGTGGTTCCAACAGAAATACGATGGTATCATTCTGAATAGCAAGAAATAAGTGGCGTATTGTTAAGTCATAGTTTTTATTACCTTTACAAGCGTAATATAAACATGGAAAATAAACTTTTTTCACATAAAACTTTTGTGCTTTTGTATTTCAAATGTGAATAGGAACCCCCTTCGGATCTGAATTTGTTTTGGATTGCATTGACTTGGATTTAGAAACTACAGATACGGTCTTAGAATTTTAAAGCTCTTCTGTAATGCACAATAATTTTATTAATTTTTAAAAGTGCCCATATGATATAAAAAATCCAAAAACTGAAATGAAAGTGATGTCGAAATAGGGACCTGGCAATACCATGGGTATCACTGCTCAAAAACAGCGACAACATTAAAATTGTTTTGACTGATTTACTACACACATGAAGCCCTACCATGGTGTAGTATCTGACTCGATTTCGAGTGAATTTTTGTGCGAGAATAAGTTTCGGTAGGGTACGAGGTATTGTTTCACAGCCCAAGCCTTGGTTGCTTTTTTGCTTCATTTCTACAGGAATACAAATCACTTCAACAAATAGGAATAGGTAGACAATGATCACGATTCATGTATAGTCGACTCTAATTATCCGTAAAATATTTCCATCAATTGGGAGTTGTTTTAATAAACTTTTGAGTTATTTTATTAATTTTGTTAGGTATATATTCTTGTCAAGTTGGTGTCTGTTTTTATACTCAAACATTAATAGGGTTTATCATAAGATGACTATGAATATATATGTGTGTGTATATAGTTTACATACGCTCAACTTTAAAACGAAAATTACTTTCTTAATATTCTAATTAGCATGTCGACATAATTGCTTTCGCCACAGATATCAACTGGTTTCTGCTGGCATCAATTTTGCATAGAGTTCCCTTTCCGGCGACCGACATTTTAATGACTATATTTGAATATCTAAAGTGTTACAGTCATTTTGGAGACCACATTCCATATTTTCCATTGTTCGGCTGCGATGGTGGATTCTGGGTAAAAAAGACAAATGAAAAGACCAATTCAAGTGGGATGCATTACAAAATTACTTGTACAGTATTATTACAGTTTGTTGCTTCTGTAGGCTGGTTCGCTGTATTTGCACCGGAATTGACGCTATTTGGTCCCCTATTCCCCGGATTGTTTGCGAGCATGTTATTTGAATTGCTAGAATGAGCCATCCAAGAAAGGAAGTTGCCACTCTGTTGTAAGAAGAGAGAGAGATAATCAAAAGGACATATGATATAATTGGTAAATTATGAATCTACCTGTTCCGGATTTCCCAATAAACCGAACTGATTTAGAGCAGCAGCCAATATTGCTGTGTTCATGGGCAAGGAGTTGAGATTAAGACCCATACCCATATTTTGAGTGGAATTAGGGCCTGGAGGGGGGTTGATGCCCAATGTCTGCATATGCATGTCCAGGGGTCGGTTTTGACTGCTATTGAAATTACTGCTGCTGTTATTTGTGTTTGCCGCTGGCGGTTGTTGTGTCATCATGTAGTTTCCTCGATTACCTCGAGGATAAGTATTTTCCCGATTAACAGGCGCCCCACCTGTATTGTTACCTCCACCTAACATTGCTGAACCTCCTTCGTTAGGTGGAGGAGCTGTATTGGCATAATAATTTCCGCTACTGTTGTGCATTGTAGGACCTTTTGATTTAAAGAGGCCACCATGTGGATTCTCGTTATGACTATTATGATGAGAATTTCTTCCGCCATTGTTAGCATTATGATAGGAATTTCGATGGTGTTCATATTTAGGAGCAGCACTTGAAACATGTAATGACACTCCTAAAAAAAGGTTTAATTAATTTTCCTTCCCTAATAAAAAAATAATAACTACCTTTCACTATGTGATCCTCTCCGCACAAAGACGCCGCTACTTCTGGATCCAAAAATGTAACGAAACTAAATGCTCTGAAAGGTCTGGGTATAAACACATCTGTAACTTCACCAAACTTGGAAAAATACTCTTTCAAGTCCTCTGCCGTAATGTCCTCTGTACAACGACCAACAAAAACTTTGCAAGGAATTTGATTTGGCGCACCCTAGACAGAAACATGTCATGAGAACTACAGAAGAAAATTTTGTCAAATGGTATATTTGCCTTGGAATTTGGAACTTTCACTTCACACCAGCGCCCGTCAATTGAATGCCTATTAGACAGGACTCTTGCCTGTACATCATACGAACCAAATCGCACAAACCCAAATCCCTTCGATTGACCTGAATGCACATCCTTTTTAATCTGTGCCATTAGAACCTCTCCAAACGTCTCAAAATATGCCCGAAGACTTTCTTCCGTAGTCTTCCAAGGTAAGCCAAGGACAATTAAATCGGTACAACGTGCCCTTGATTCCATACGTTTTGTTTTGGCTGTGGAGTTTTCCAATTGGTCATCGCTTTTACGCTTGTTTTCTGAAAAACAAAAGAGTGATCTATGGTTCATCAAAATCCGGCGATGAGAAACTCATTTTTCCTCACCTTTGGGAAAGACACAATGATAGACATGATTGCCCCAACCACATTCACTTGGCGGATATAATTTGCCATCGTTCAAACGAATCCCACGAAAACATTTGGTTTCTTCATTAAGATACTTCAGGCCGCTTGCACCTGGAAATGTTGATTGCAGTGTTGACAAGAGCAAGTTTTTATCCGGCTCTATGGGCAATTCTATGGGCTCTTCTCCATCTTCTTCGACTACTTGCACAAAATCCATAACAAATCACCCGAAAATTCTTTAGCCAAATAATGACTAAACTCTGTAAAATTATTTTTTATAAATAAAGAAATTGTGGAAATTGTAGTATACAAGATACAACGAAACGCAACGATTTATTTTATATCGATGGTTTACGCCAAGTAAACGATGCAGATTATTGTCAAAAATATCGAATGTTGTGCATATCGATAGTTTGCCAGTTCTATTTCGACACCCAAAAGTCGATTAGTCAAAAGTCGACTAACGTATCCCTATTCGTTCGGGTATTTTCCGTCTCGTTTTTAAGGGCATTTTTTTTCGAAAAAAGAAGGAATACAAAGAGACCAACGTAAAATAAAACAAGAAAATAAGGGAAGAAAGACTACTGAAATCTATGCTTTATAAATAAAGAAATTGTGAGTATACAAGATACAACGAAGCGCAACGATTGTCTCAGCGGCGGCGATGGTCGGATGTAAAACAATCGACGGCGGGGCTTAATAATTTGTTTCGGCGTCAGCGAAATTTCAAAGAAGAAAATATATAAAATATTAATTTAATATTTTTTATGTATGTTTAAATGGTTTCGCCCTATTTCTTTTCCCTATACACACACCAATAAATCGAATAAGTACATTAGCTGTAAAGAAAAATATTTGAAAAAGTTGCGACGGCGGCGGATTTCTTTACCACCACAGCATGGGAGTATAAACATCGATAGTATCGATACATTGTTTTATAAATTTGTATCGGGTAAAATGTAGGCTAAAGTACTATTATTTAGTAATTATAAGAGGGAGAATGCTTATTTTTTGATTTTTTATGTTTATTTATGTTAAATTTGTTTTTCATCACGTGTATTTCGAATTCTTCCTTCGGATAGTAAGTGCAAATAACCGGTAGTTGGTACTTCACGCTGACAAGACCAAAGTCGACCTACTAAGCCCTGAATGACGCGCGGTTTGAATTGGTTCGATTTCAAATGTGCTGCTACTGATGGAAATGGAAACCAAGCCTGAATACATGTGAAAACAAAGAAAATCAGATAAAATAAAATAACTGTGAGAGCTGGTGAAGTGTGTTAGTAATTAGTTTTTCCGACTTTTTGAACATTTTGAATATTTTCACCATACAAAACTATACCCCAATCATAAATGGTATGTATTCACAGAAACATTGAAAGACGCCAAGAACAATACTATTTAATATTTTTATGTTAGATAAAATGAGTACCGTCAATTTATCAATATTGGCCACGTTCGACGACTTGCGTCGCTGCATACAAGTCTTAACCGAAGGCACAGCCGAGGAAGAGCTCTTGAAAATTCTACAGCTGCAGAAGAAAATGCAGCTGGAATGCCTTTCTAGGGCCCAAGAAGCACAACGCATACAAAAGGAATTGGACGCATCGTTGCAATCAATGGCAGATTTGGAGACAAAATTGTTTCATGCCCGTCGTTTGTTGGAAATGGAAAGTAAGGCGCGCAAAGAAGCTGAATATGACCGAGATCAAATGGAGAAAAAGCTGGTTGCAGTGGCTGACCTATTGCAACATGAAAATAATCTAAAAAACGAGACCAGAGATAAATTGGGGTTTCTGCATACTTTGCCACGAAAACGGAAATCTGTTAACCGCAACTTAGAGGAAAAATATGGCAACGAAATTAATTCTACGGGCAGTTTTCTGTCGGATCTATCTATAACACAGTCGGAAGACGATTTCTTGGACGATCGTCCATCTCGAACTTGGCATAAAAATAGACATTCGGCGGCAAATAATGGTGCAGCTTTTGGTAATAAAAGAACTCGTTTGTGCGATGATAATGCTAACACCCCTCCAGTTCTGCAGCAACCCGTTAGGCGTTCTACAAGGCGTAGTAAGTCTAACAATAATCAACAACACCATCTGGTCGATGTCGTCAATGGCTCGGAACGTATTTGTGCCACCACTAAAGTTTCTATACCACAAGATGGCAGTGGAGCCATACGTGCCGAGTCCACAATAGAAACAGTTCCTGTAATAGTACACAAGGAAGATTCGCCCGTTGAAGAAATTCAATCGTCTACACCATGCAGATCACCATTAAAGCAACACAATTTTCATGGTGTGGTGAACAGTGCAGACTCTCCAATGGCACAGAATATAAAATCGACAGGAACTTTAAAACGTTCGCACAATTTCGTGAGCAAAACTTTTATTAGAGGAGAGACCTGTGTACATTGCTCAAGAAAGTAAGTAGAAAGTTTGGATATGCTGAGCAGTTGGTTGATTAACTCTTTCTTCCCTTAGAATTCGTTTTGGTTCGGTTGGCCTACGTTGCCGCGATTGTCCAATTAGATGCCACACCGATTGCCGTCCTTCCGTTACAGTTTCTTGTGTTCCTTCTACAGGTACGCCCACCATAAAGGGTCTAATGGGTCATATTGCCGATTATGCACCTTCTGTGGCGCCATTTGTCCCGGCTCTTATTGTACACTGTGTCAATGAAATAGAAGCTCGGGGTCTCACCGAAGTGGGTATATACCGTGTATCTGGTTCTGAAAGAGAAGTCAAGGCATTGAAGGAACGATTCCTAAGAGGCAAGTCTCCGCCTCAATTAGCCAACATTGAGGTCCATGTTCTGTGTGGCTGCATCAAAGATTTTCTTCGCTCTCTGAGAGAGCCTCTAATACCAACAAATCTGTGGAAAGATTTCTGCAATGCCGTACAAAATCCATCCGAGGAGGATATACAAAAAGATCTATACAAGGCTATAGATGCTTTGCCCCAACCGAATCGTGACACATTGGCATTCTTAATTTTACATTTTCAACGTATAGCGGAGTGCCGTGAAGTCTTAATGCCGTTGGACAATATCGCCAGGGTATTTGGACCTACGATAGTGGGCTATTCATCTCCCGATCCAGATCAACATGCCATCTTTACCGAAGTCTATACCCAATATACGGTTATGTTGCAATTATTAAAAATACCAAGGGTGTTTTGGGTACAATTTGTGCCTCAGATCGAGGACAAAGAAAACAAACACAATACGGCTAACATAAAGGAAACCCCCAGTAATAATAAGGAATCAATTTATTCTTTATACGGTAAGTTATTCTCTTAAATATGCATATTTATATGTTTTTTAATTGACCTTTATTTCAGCAACACCTCTAAAATCAACACTCAAAAAGCGGCGTCTCTACGGCAGTCCTCCTTATCCAAAAGATTAGTTAAAATAACCGCATTTTTGTTATATTTATAAATAACCATATTTTTCTATATACCTATATCTATATTGTAAAATGTTTATTTCATATTATTATAATCTTATGTATTGGTTCAGGGGTTCTTCTTATTTCAGAATTAAACTTATTGCGTTCTTATTCAAGTTTCTTCATTTAAGGATTAATTTGAGTTTGTTGTATGAAAATGAAATCACCATTTATTTTTTTTACAAATCTTACTGTCGTATTTCTTAATTGGAATGTCTACAAACAATAAAGGATTGAATATTGCAAGTGATGTGTTCTTTATAAGATATTTTCTATACAAAAAATATAGGTAACTGCAAATAGAAATATCAAAAGGAGTAGAGAGAGAGGAAGTGAAAAAGTTGTGTCTTTAAATTAATCATTCACATATGTATTCTTTTGAATTCCGGCTTAGGATCATAGGGGTAAAGTGAATACTTTTGTACTGCAAATGTAATCACAGCCGGACATCTTAAAACAGTCGGAGAAATGTCACTAGATCCGTATTTTAAGATGAAACAATTTAAGTTAGGATTATGAAAACATATATATTATTTAAGTGGTTTTCAATATTACCAATATTATATACTAGGCCAGTAAGCTCATCTGACAAATTTGTCGAGTGATGTAGAACTTGAAACAGTTTTTGGTGTTTTCTTTTTTTCTGACAGCAAGTGAACTATTTTTATACCATTGACTATATTTCATTATTTTATATTGTTCATTTATTGAAAAATAAGAAAAACATAGCAAACATCTTGAAATATTTGATGGAAATAGTATTTTTCCCTATTTTTCCTGGTACCATCTGCCAACTCTATTCATCACTGCTGACAACCCTTCTCTCACTCTCTCTCTCTCTCTTTCTTTTTTCATCACTCTTTCAGTTGCACATTCTAAACAAATATCTCCCATCGGCTGTTTTCTACTATCCCTCATATTCGTTTGTAGTGTGTGGAACGTTTTTAAATTTGTTCGGATGTTAAATACATAAAAAAAATTACAAAAGGGAATTTGTGGGTGTCAGTTCAGTCAGTCTTCAAAAGCAAAGCAAAGTTTTAATTTTTTTCATTTCTTGAAAAGTATACATTAACTCGGCTTCTCAACGCAGCAGCGAGCGAGCGATATCAGCAGTAACAAAAAAGAATTAAAAAAACTTTGTGCAGGAATTATTTTCTGCATGACATGCAATGCCGATTGAAGTAAGTTGGGTAGCGATGTAATTTATTGATTTAGCAAAACCATCTTGATGAAAACCTTGACATTTCCTGTTATTACTTGCAATGCCTGAAGGAAAAAAAAAAAAACAAATCCCAATTGTTTTCTTATTTTTCTCGTTGTAGATGAAAAACTAAAGCACCAATTGCCGAATTACGAACAAAGGAAATTGCAATCTTGCCAAGTATCAATTTTATTATTATCTGCTTTGTGCATCAGCTATTGAAAAAAAACTTTGGTTTTCATCATGGCAATGTCAAAAGTGATTCGGGTTTTGGAAAAATCCATAGCTCCATCGCCGCATAGCGTTCTGATGGAGTATCGCAATAAAAACGAAAGCATCCTCTTTGAGTCACATGCCGTTGCCCTGTTGTCGTCCCAAGAGTCGGAGATAATTCGCAAACAATACACAAAAGTGTGCGATGCCTATGGTTGCCTCGGCGTGCTTCAGCTGAATGCTGGCGAGAGCACTCTGTTGTTTTTAGTTCTGGTCACTGGCTGTGTCTCGATGGGTAAGATTGGAGACGTGGAAGTGTTTCGCATACAACAGACGCAGTTTGTATCGTTACAAAATGCTGCTCCAAATGAAGATCGGATTTCGGAGGTGCGGAAATTACTAAACTCTGGAACGTTTTACTTTGCCCATACGAATCAGTCGGCGACCAGGGCTACAAAGTTTGACATAACACTGTGTGCCCAGAGACGCTTCCAAACGGGCGAAACTGATAACCGTTTCTTCTGGAATCGTATGATGCACATACATATGCTACGTTTTGGTATTGATTGCCAGTCCTGGCTTTTGAAAGTGATGTGTGGTTCGGTGGAGGTGCGAACTGTTTACATAGGGGCAAAACAGGCAAGGGCGGCAATAATATCGCGTTTAAGCTGCGAACGAGCTGGTACTCGTTTCAATGTGAGAGGTAAGTGGGCATTAATCTTTCCAATATCCAATATCTTGTAACTAATGATGACTGCGCTTCTTCGTTTGGGGGCCAGGCATAAACGACGAAGGGCATGTGGCAAATTTTATCGAAACCGAGCAGGTTATTTACGTGGACAATGATGTGACGAGCTATGTGCAGACACGCGGCTCGGTTCCACTTTTTTGGGAACAACCTGGCGTTCAAGTTGGCTCTCACAAAGTTAAGCTTTCGCGAGGATTTGAGACCTCGGCGGCTGCTTTTGATCGCCACATGTCTTTGATGAAACAACGATATGGTTATCAGGCCATTATCAATCTTCTGGGCACCTCATTGGTTGGCAGCAAAGAAGGCGAGGCCATGCTCAGCAATGAATTCCAGCGCCATCATGGTATGTCTGCCCATAAGGATGTACCACACATCATATTCGATTATCATCAGGAGTGCCGTGGTGGAAATTTTGCTGCTCTGTCTAAGCTAAAAGAACGTATAACCGCTTGCGGCATAAACTATGGCATATTTTATGCTGCCGCCGGAAAAGTTGTTCGTGAACAATTCGGAGTTATACGAACCAACTGTTTAGATTGTCTGGATCGTACAAATTGTGTACAAACATTCCTGGGATTGGATACATTGAATATACAACTAGAGGCTTTGGGTTTTGGCGAAAAGAAAAACTTTACACGATTCGAGGAGATATTCAAACAAATGTGGATAAACAATGGTAATGAGGTCAGTAAAATCTATGCCGGCACTGGAGCTATTCAGGGTTCGTCAAAACTAATGGATGGTGCTCGATCAGCTGCCCGTACCATTCAAAACAATTTACTGGATAATTCCAAGCAGGTAAGACCCTTGAAAATGAAGTATTTCCACGAGAGTTTTATTATTTGTTTATTTTTCCCTGTGAACAGGAAGCCATTGATATACTTTTGGTGGGCTCAACGCTTAGTTCTGAGTTGGCCGATCGGGCAAGAATCCTATTGCCTTCCAATATGCTGCATGCCCCCACTACGGTTTTGCGCGAAATGTGTAAACGCTACAATGAATATGTCCAGCCTCAGACTGTGCGCGTAGCGGTGGGAACGTACAACGTAAACGGTGGTAAACATTTTCGCAGTATTGTCTTTAAGGACACCCTTTCAGATTGGCTGTTAGATTGTCACGCTTTAGCACGCTCAAAAGCATTGGTCGATGTCAATAATCCATCGGAGAATGCTGGCAAACCTGTTGATATATTTGCCATTGGCTTTGAGGAAATTGTCGATTTAAATGCCAGCAACATTATGGCGGCTAGTACGGAAAATGCCAAACTCTGGGCCGAGGAACTACAAAAAACCATATCGCGAGACAATGACTATGTGTTGTTAACCTATCAGCAACTTGTGGGCGTTTGCCTGTACATCTACATTCGACCCGAACACGCTTCGTATATTCGAGATGTGGCCATTGATTGTGTCAAGACAGGTTTAGGTGGAGCAACTGGCAATAAGGGAGCATGTGCTATACGTTTTGTATTCCACGGCACCTCAATGTGCTTTGTGTGTGCCCACTTTGCAGCCGGACAAAGCCAGGTGGCCGAACGTAATGCCGACTATGCGGAAATTACTCGTAAATTGGCTTTCCCCATGGGTCGTACTTTGAAATCGCATGACTGGGTATTCTGGTGTGGAGATTTCAACTATCGCATTGATATGGATAAGGAGGAATTAAAGGAGGCCATAAAGAATGGCGATTTGACCACTGTACTAGAAAACGATCAATTACTGAAGGAACAGGAGGCAGGTAATGTATTCACCGACTTCCTGGAGGGCGAAATAACATTCGATCCCACGTACAAATATGATGTGTTTAGCGATGAATACGATACGTCGGAAAAGCAAAGAGCTCCTGCTTGGACAGATCGTGTACTGTGGCGCCGACGTAAGGCCTTGGCAGAGTCAGATTATAATGCCGCCGAATGGAATCCCGGCAAACTAATCCATTATGGAAGATCCGAGCTTAAACAAAGTGATCATCGCCCTGTAATTGCTATAATCGATGCTGAAGTAATTGTAATTGATCCGCGACGCCGAAGGAAAGTGTTCGAAGAGGTCATAAAAGATTTGGGTCCTCCAGATTCCACAATAGTGGTCCATGTTCATGAACCTTCGGCCGATGATGAAGGTCCCACAATTTACGACGAAAATGTTATGTCTACCCTAATTCAAGAGTTGTCGAAGATGGGTGAAGTGACATTGGTACGTTATGTTGAGGATACAATGTGGGTAACGTTTCGCGATGGTGAGTCGGCCCTGAATGTGGTGGCCAAGGGAGAAACCAGTATTTGTGGTCTACATTTGAAATTTGAATTGAAGTCCCCTGACTGGATGCGTCACGTGGACAATGAAATAGAGTTGTGCACAACGAATACCATTCCATTGTGTGCCAATCCCCAGGAACAAGCTTCGTTGTTGAACGCTACACCAGAAATTCCCCAGAGACCAAAACAACCACCAGCAAGACCCGCTCCGGCACGACCTCCAATACCAATGTCACCAAAGAATTCGCCAAGACATTTGCCACATGCCGGTGTTATAAGTGTGGTGCCCGAGATGTTGCAAGCCAAACCGGCCAAACCACCCATGCCACCACAGCCGCAACAACCGCCACAATTGCCACCACCACTAAGACCAGTTCCAGTGAATTCGGTGGTAGATACTCCATCTTCTTCGAAATCGCAATCGCCAACGGAACAAAATTCACCACTGCACTCCTCATCGGGCAAGACATCACCCGTAGGAACGGGATCGAATGCCAGTTCATTGCCGCCAACGCCACCACGTAATACGCAAAGCAAAAATGTAACACCCGTATCAACGCCTTCGCGTCAATCCAAACAGTCATCGGTTGATGTGCAGGATGCTTCTGCTGCTGCGGCCTACAACGATAGTAATATTTATGAGGAGATCCAAGAAGACATACCAGCACCTAGGCATCCCCCGCCACCATTTCCTCCCGTGCCCAGTGACATTGTCAACGAAAGTCCACAACGTCGACCACCAGCCTTGCCGGCAAATGCACCGATGGGACCTCCACCACCACTTCCAGTTCGACGCGGACCACCGCCAATTCCAAATCGTGTAGGTGGTGCGCCCCCCTTGCCCAATCGACCGAACAACAATTGAATTTCCAGCCGTTGTACTTAAGTGAAAATTGCATATACAAAACAAACAACAAACAAACAGTAAGTAGTAGAGCCTTTGCTTATAACAACAAATATAAAAAGCGAGAGGAAAATTTAAACATTCCAAGGAAGTAAATAATATTCCATTATCTTCACCAAGAAGATAAGCTGAAAGAGGTTTGATAAAAAACTTCCTACACCATTTGCAATTGCAATTCAAACATTAAACTTAACTATTTAATGGTCACAGGAACTACCAAGTCAATAGAATACTAATTAATATGAGGGTCCTCAGGAGTTCCTTACTGAAATATAAAGAAACACATCACCACTACTACTACTACAACTATACATAATATGTTATTGCAATCTAAAAAACCAGAAATAATTTTAAAGAAAAAGTAAACTAGTGCAAATGACGATGAAAACTAGCTCATACCTAAATACGCTTACACAAGACAAACATTCTTTTTATTTTTTTGTTGAAGAAGAAGATGAAGAATCAAAGTAACATAGAATAGAACAAATTATCACATCTCACGTCTAATACACATATTCGTATGTGCTGTTTTACATCCCAAAAAAATAATATAAAAACAAAAAAAAAAGAGATAAACTAATATTCTATTAAACAATTAAGTTTATGCTAAAGTATTAAATAGCTGTAACAATTATAATAACAGAAAAACAAAAACTAGTCAAATGTCCAAGTGGAATAAAAAAAAAGCAAAATAATATTTATAATGGAATGAAACTTAAAATTAAAATACAAGGAAATATAATGTTACGTTATTTACAGGGACTGTGATCAGTTTCCATTGGTCGTTTATGATGTATTATAGGTGTAAGCATTAAAAACAAAACGAAAAAACATAATAATGATTGGCATATTGCAAATTAACACCACATACTTACTTATTTGTACGCTTTTTCCCACTCCCCCTCTTTTTACCCCATTCAGAGCTACGTGATAATTGTTACTGATTGTCCGAGTAAAAATTCTCAGGAAAAAGCCTGAAACTATGCAGTTAAATTTTTTACACGAAGTTTCGTCCTGGGGCCAAATCACAGCAGTCGAAGTCGAGTACTTCAGTATCGTATTGTAGTTTACGAGGATCACCGCAGTCGTTATCGAATTGTTTTTTTTTGCCCCTGTTTAGAAGCCGTTGGTGCCAATATATTCCTGGGTTTCTTCATCATATGCTTTGATGATACTGATCTACCCAATGTTGGTCAAAGGAAACTGTTGGAGAAAGATAGAGTATACTTTTAGGCGTCAACGACCGCCTGAAGATTTTTCTATGGTAATTAATGATTAATTGCTGTTTTGATTGATTTTGAAAATTGATGCTTTTGCTGGGCGTCTGAAAGACTTCTGCGAGGTACCACAATGTGATTTGTTATTGGATATAAATGATGGGCCGATCATTGAGCATTGATCTTGGCTCATATAAAATTGGCTGTCCGTCTTTTCTTATTTAAAGTTTCTTAGATACATTTTTTACCACTCGTGGGATTTCAGTTGTAATAAAAGCAATCAATATAGGTTCAATTAAAAAAATATGAAAGAAATTGGAACCATTTAAAGTATAGCTTGTTATTTTGAGTTCTCAGTTTTTGCCCCTACATCCAAAAATTAAACAAGTAAAAAGCTGTAAGTTCGGCCGGTTCAAACCTTGAATACTCTCCACCATATGGAACGAATTTGGCAATTTTCAAAAAATAAAATCGGTTAAAAATTCTCTTAAAATCAGCAAAGACTACTTTTGTCACAAGCCATTACAATACTCAAATGCGAAACTTGAAAAAGAAATCGGTGAATAATGTAGCTAAAATCATCAAAATACCGAATATAGGGAGGTACCATTATGTGTGGGCTATACCAAAACGTGGATCTGCACAGACAATTTTCTGTCATAGGCTGTATCCATCCATTACGAACTTCAAATCCCAAATTTGAAACAATTCCGGTGAATACTGTCGCTTAAATCATCAAAATACCGACTATCGGGAGGTACCATCATATGGGGGCTATACGAAGACGTGCACCTGCACAGACAATTTTCTGTCAAAGGCTTTAGTATCCATTATGAACTTCAAATACCAAATTTGAAACAATTCCGGTCGCTAAAATCATCAAAATATCGAATATCGGAAGGTACCATTATATGGGGGCTATACCAAAACGTGAACCTATATGGCCCATTTTCGATACCATAAGTCCAGTGCAGACATAATATACATCTGAGTACAGTTTTATTAACTTACTTTATTTCGTTCGGAAGCCAGAGTGATTTCTGCAGACGGACATCGCTAAATCGACATAAAATTTTATGGTGATCAAGTTGATAAAAACCGAATGACAAACTTGATATACCACTATGGTGGAGGGTATAAAAAACTGAACTTGAAACAAAATGTAAACATAAATATATGGATCAAATTGCTTGTTGGCCCAATTCGACTGGATTCACAGCATTTTTAATCTCAATATTTATTTTTAGTTGGCTCTTTTAATTCATTGTAGTTTAATTTAATTCATTGTAGTTCCCACATACACCGCTCCTATTATATATCAACAAATGATCTATTAGATTTGTTATCAAATTGCAGTGGTGAAAATTTATTATGAAAAAAAAAAAACACAAATTACCAAACTTACCACATCAATTCGTCACAAAAAACCAAACTATTACAAACTCGCCTAAGTAAACCTAATAAAAATATTGAAAAAAGCAAAGAAATTTCTATCGTTAACGTTTTATTTGAGAAATTTTAAAGTTGTCTGTTGAATGTAGTACACTGATGATGAACACTCTATATAATAATTAATAATAATATTCAAATAACACAAATAATAATAATAATTATTACAACGGATTAAACAAACAAACCATTAATTATATTACGAATTATGTAGGAACATTATTATTATAATTACGATTATTATTGCAATAAAAGCGAATGGCTAATACATATGTTATCATGTTATATTTATGTATTTAATGTATATGGTTAACACAGATATAGATTTTGGTGTCGTAACGGATATAAGAAAAAAACACTCACTCCTTAATCAACAAAATGCAGTATGTAATAAATGTTAAAATGCTAAATACATATACATCTACTATATATAAACTTATAAATTATATAACAGCAATCAATAAAACAAATAATAAAAACAAACTAACTAATAAACACACACATACAGAGAAACAACCCTGCAAAAACCTTAAAACCATCTAGGCATTGCATCCATTGGCAGATTCTTTTGATTCGGCAAGGCATTACAGGGTCTCTGTTGCCGCCAAAACTCCTGACGTTTGTTTAGGAAATCCACCGCCTCCTTGACATAAGTTGAAATATTTTCAGTATTAGTATCAGCTCTTATCAGATCGGGATGTTTCAATAGATTTTCCAGATATTCCTTATCCACACACAATTCACCCAAAAGTTTTCGGGCATTTCGACGTTCCAATTCTAACTTGGTGGGTTTTCCCCTGATAGGTCTTGCACTACTGCTATTCATCTGGGATTTGGGGGTATTATCGTTGGATTTTTTAGCTTTACTGGTACTGGGTTTGTTGTTGTTATTCTTAACGCCAATTGTATTCTCAATAGCTTCTTGGGTTTTTTGCACCCCCAAACGAAAGGAATTCAATTCTGGTCGGGCTCGGGCGCCCCTATGGAAGTACATAAGACTCTGTTCGAATTGGCCCAAATAATACAAGGCCTCAGCTTTTTGATAGATTGCTCGTATATTATTTTTATCTTCATTCAAGGCTGTTTCGGCATCAACCAGGGCCTTGGATGCCTCCCCCAGAAGTAGATAACACTTGCTGCGGGAGACCAAGGCATTAATATCGGTGCTGTTGAGTTCCAGAGCCTGGAAATAAGAACAAACACAAAACATTATTGTGAATTTGAATGTGACCCCCTCCCCCACCCCTTACAAACAACCTTGGAAAAGAAATGTATGGCATTTTCAGGATTGGCATTTTTAATTTCCTTCAAACCCAAGGCAATAATTGAATTGATATCACCTTCATCAGGTATCATCAAAGATTCGCTGCGATCCTGTTTTTGTTTTATTTGCAAACTTTGTTTAATATCGAATGCCCCAGCGCTAACAGCAGCTGCCCTGTCCTTGTCCGTATAGAAATCAACGAAATTCTCCTTGGGCTTTTTACGTTTTTGCATAAGTTCCTCATTACGTTTGCGGGCAGCCCTTAGCTCGGCCTCAATGCGATTCATGCGTTGATGTTGGCCCTTTACAGGGCCATCGGTGTCATCATTAAATTTCACAGATTGTTTTCGGCGAGTATCCCGGCTGGCTGCCTTGACTTTAGTGGCCACAATTCGGCTCTTTTTTTCCTTTGTGGCCTCTTCGTTGACATCATCATCAGAAGGAACTCCTAGGCGAGTAAAACTTTGTAGTAACTCTTGCTCTTTGTCAATATCGAAAAAGTCTTTTAAAACTTTCGACATTTTCAGTGAATTTTGATACGGCTGGAGGTGTTAAAATTAAAATCTTCAATCTGCTTTGTATTTTGTTCAATCAACTACTTTTCTGTTATAAATAGGTTGCTTGGCTACCAAACTATTTGCAATATTGATAGAATAAGAATCATCGATATAAAACCACACATGACACCTTTTCGTTGTTTGAAATGGAATGTCTTATGGTTTTTTTATACTTGTGGTAGGTAAAATGCAAAATGAATTAAGAGATTTTACTTTGGACATTATGGAATTCGTGGAAACACAAAGAACATATCTCTTTGACTAAACATTTTTATGAAAGACAACTTGGCGATGGAATGTTAAAAAATATTGTTTTGTTTTTCCAAACAAAATAATTTTTGATTTGCTGAGGCCGCAATAAATTCAAAATAATGTATTTTCTTTATAGGTCAATTGGGAAGGTCGGTGTACTCACTTTGATTCCCGTGGTCCATTTTTGTAATTTCTAAACACAATTAAAGTTGAGAACTACAGAAACTAATTTTGAAAGGGGAAAATACTGCAGAAGTAAATAAAAAGCGCGAAAACGTTAATTTTTGGCATTTCTCTTGATTGGCGTTTTCTTATATGTCGCTCACCCATGGTCCCTCTCTCCAATAAGAGTTTTTTATACATTATATTAATTTTCTTGTAAATGATAGTGAAGAAAATTATATTTTACCTGTTTAGATTCTTAGAGGCTAGAAAACGCAATAACATCCTTTTCGTATACGTCACCCGAATTACTGAGATTTACTAAATGAATCTCAATTAAATATTTTAAATGGTTTAGTTTTCCGTTAAGAGAAATGTCCATCCCTGTAGAGAGGTGAGAGTCGCCACTATTCATTTGTGTCTGTGCTACGTATTTCTCAATGGTTGGCAACACGAAACAACATGGTAATGGTAACTCGCCGTCTCTGCTAATCACCGTGAAATGATAACTGTTGGGTTCTATAATATATTCGATTAAATATTTTGTTTTAAATTTTGAAAATGAAATGCATTCAAAGTTATCAATAACAAATTTTAAAGTTATCAATAACAAATTTTTAAAAATTGATTGCAATTAATTAAAAATCAAATTAAAAATTGCATTAAAAATATATTTTTGGTAAAAAATGCAAAATGTTAATATCGGGATTGAAGACTTTGTCACACACCATTCAGGCAAAAGTAGACATGAAGGAGTTCATCGGCCGTAAGGCAAGATTTATAGTGAGTGGGGGCCTTAGGTCTGGTTTAATATTTTCAAATTTGAGCATGCTAATATTTTTTACTTTGTTTAATATTTCTTATTGTTTTAAGAGATGTTATAATATAATAAGTTCTCATTCTTTTTGCCCACATTTTCACATTTCTTTCATGTTTTATTTTTAATTTAAAACAATCATTTGTTTTTCAAGAGAAAGTTGAAACTCTTTACTTTCATATAAATTTTACCTGATTATAGCCTATCAATGCCTTTTCATATTCTCTCGATTTCATGTGATTTTTCGATTGATCACAAAATAGCTTAATATTCTGTTCGATTTCTTCAATTGTATCCACTTTAGGTTTTTTGCGCGGCATTTTGTTGTTGGATTTTCCGTTCTTTCGATTTTTGTGATACTTGTTTTTACACTTCACTTATATCCGTTTCCGTTGGGTCTAATGTCATGACGGAACATTGAAATGCAACTGAAAGGAATGTTTACTTTTATCGTTTGTTCGACAGTTTTTCGTAAATTTCCGCATTTTGTTGTTTGCGGGGAGTGGGTGGTGGGGGTTAGTTTGGAAATTTCATTGGCGAAACTAATGGGAGTTTGTGTTGTGACATGCAAATATGGAATAATAATGTTGTTGTGATAGTATTTGTTGTTCTTCCTGTAGTTTGATTGTTGTGATAGTTTGTTTAATGAAGGCTCGTCGTATGTTTTCTTTGATTAATTTGAATTAAGTTTTAATTGTTGAATAATTATTAAAGTTCTTCACAACATTCAAGGGGGGTTTAACTTAACAATTAATTAGTGAAGTAGACAATATATGGAGCAGTTGTATATTCTGCTCAAAAAAAGACGAATTGTTTCCAGTTTTAAACCCAATGTCATCTAGAAATATGAACATGTCTATAGCATTACCTGCAAATCTTTTGAAACCACAGGTTGAAAGAAGATTCTACAGAGTATTAGAGATTATAAAAGAGTAAATATGCCACTGCTTTCGTTTGTATGTTTATCTAATACACACATTCTCATTAGCTTTCAACGCCTCATTCATTAAAGTTCTGCAATATTTTCTTTCTTTGTTGTTGATTAATAATCAACCCATAAAAGTATGAAACAACAACTAGAAACACGCAACTGTTCGAAGGAGAAATTGTAACCAGGAGCAATAACTGTGAATAAAATTAAGGAGGAATTAAATTCTATATTTATATTTTAACAATTAGACATTACTTTTTTTCCTTTCAAAACCTTATTCTCTATTTCTCATAAAAGTTAGTACCCCCTTTCTAAATTATGTCTCAGGAATTTATTTTCAAAAAATATTGATATATTTGTATTCTATAATTCATGCATATGATTACTTTTTTCATTTCAAAATCTTATTCTCTATTTCTTATAAAAGTTAGTACCCCCTTTCTAAATTATGTCTCAGGAATTTATTTTCAAAAAATATTGATATATTTGTATTCTATAATTCATGCATATGATGTCAACGCTAATTGCTTTTGAAACTGATTGTTCAGTGCGGATAAAAAAAAATGCCCAATGACATGTTTATTGTTTACTTTAATAAGCTTTCTTGTCATTATTTTGAATGTCATGCTTCATACGCCATGGTTTGTGATTGCGTTGTGTGTTTTTTTTTTTTTATTAAATGATACACTCTTAATTTGTCAGCTCGTAAATAATTCATAATTCTGAGCCTACACAGATGTTATCCGTAGGTGGGCAGAATTATTCAAATTTCTGGAATTTTGTATGGATTTCTATTTTTAAATCATACGCAACTTAAAAGAAAAAAAAATGTTTTGTGATGTATGAATTACGGGATTTTTGTTTTTTTGAATATCATAAATAGATGGAAAAGCTGAACCGGATATAAATATTTTTGGATATGCATACATCATGAAATATTATAGTAACCAAAATAGATTTAAAAAAAACATTTGCAATTATTTAAAATACGTTCAGATTGTGAAGCTGTAATTCTGAGCTTGCCCTGTGTTTACACAACTGAGAAGGGGGTATAAGCCTTAAGGCAAACGTTCACACTGGGCAAATATTTGAACTAAATTTGTTCTCCCAAATTTTATCTATCTTTACATTTAAGACTTAATCTTGATTAATTTGACAGTATAAATAACGCCCTAAAATTTGTTTATGTTTGTAATAATGAATATAGCCTAAAAGAAAATAAATGTCATGGTAGAAGAATAAAGGTCGTCGAATCTACACAGCTGCCAGCTGACAATGAACTGTCAAACCAATTTTGAAATTGAAAAATTGGAATGAAAAATTATTGAAATTTATAAAAATGCATATCATAAAAACTCAGATTTGTGTGGTATAAGAAAACATATAAAAATAAGCCTATTTTTGTAAAAACATTTGAAAATTTTTGATATATTAATGTTCCCAAGCGTTGATGCATTTTCCTTTATTCTTCTACCAATGTAAAAAGTTGGGCCCAGTCTGAACACTACATAATTGTTGATCTTTTGCATGGTAGAAGAAAAAAGGTAGTCGCATCGACACAGCTGCAGGGACAATGAACTGTCAAACTAATTCTGGAATTGAAAATTTTGAATGAAAAATTATTGAAATTTGTAAATATTCTTGAAACATACACATAATAACAACCGCTGAAGGGAGACTTTTTTGTACCTTGTGGGCCCTAATCCTACTCGCATCTGAGAAGTTTTCGTACCTTGTGTACCCTATTTGTTGTGCAAATTGTTGCATTTCTGAAGTGCTTTTGTTTTTTTTTTTTTATAAAAACCAACTAATTTTCAATATTAGAATTCGTGTTGGATGTTGGAAAATACCATATATTGATGTACAAACCAATCAAATTGCTGGCTCTATATAAAACGGTTGGTTTTTTTTTAGAAAAAGGTTTTCTTGAGGAATCTTGAATTCTTCCTCTCTACTTTTTCGCCCTCGGAATTATTTTCCGATAACAACCTTCAATTCGCGTCGCATATAAAAACATATGGAAATCTACTTTTCAACTTCTATCAATATAGAAACATGATGTTAATCCCCATCTGAACATGACATAACCTTTGATCTTTTGTATGATATAGATGCCTGGCGAAACATCAAATCTTGTGTCATGGAAATTTTGAAAATTTCCTTTATTTTTTTATTAAGAAATTATATTTCTTCGTTATTTACGTCAATATCAGCTCTGCTTAATCCTACTCGCACCTGAATTGTCCTCTTACTCTTGTTTTTTTGGTTTTATCAAATTATAATAGACATATTTATTTGTTGTCTATCTTTCAATGTTCGTGTTTATATCGCACAATAAAATTATCGTTTATCCAATTTGTAGTTTTGTCATAATACAACAACAACAAAAACACGAATAACAAAAGCAATTCAGAATAATACAATCATATCTTCACAAATTTGCACCAATTTAAGAAATTTTGAATATTTTATTGAAATTGATTTGTGGTTGTGGCTGTGCGGGCGGGCTGGCTGGCGGGTGTTGCAAAAATAGCCAATCAATTTAGACATTTTGGTTGATATGATGGTGGGTAGTGGTGGGTTTGGTTTTTGGTTTAACAATTCCAATTGTTCTGGCAGCCTACAACACGCGATTGTTAGCTGGTTGGCTGGATGGTGGGCTATGTCAATATAGAAATCAACTAAATCAACAAGTTTTGTTTTTGTTATTTTTTGATAATAAAATCACGGCAATATGACAGTTATGATGATAATGACAACAAAAACAACAATAACGACAACGATTATGGTGATTGAAGTTGGTTTTTGGTTTGGCTGGGCCTAGTAGTATTTGCATGTTCTCCACATTTAAGTTAACTGTCATCATCATCATCAGCCATTCATGAATGAATGTCAACAACAAATTTGGAAGCTTGCTACGTTATACAGATATAGACCTTGTCCGCACGGCGACATCGCCAACTATTGGAATGGAAAAATTTGCAAAAATTGAAAAAAAAAAAAAAATCAAAATTATTCTTTACTTTCGATTTATTAAATAAAATACCAAAAACATACATAAAGCCATTAACATTTACATACATACAAACAAAAAAAATTATAATACATGGGTTTGTGTGTGTATGTGTTCCTTTCCTGTTCTGGGCAAGAATATAATTTGGGAGTTGTTTTTTTTTCTGGGGGAAGGGAACAATTCATAAATATGTTACAAAAAAAAAATAAAAATAAATTATTTTGCTGTTGCTTTAGTTTGCCATAATTTAAAGAAGAAAGAATCCAATATTTTCAAATTATTTTATGGTATTTTTGTTGTTGTTCTTGTTGCATTTACATATAAATAATTTAACTTAAACTAAATGGATGGTTATAAAGGAATAGGGTAAATAATAATGCCTGTTTGTTTTGTTGTAGTTGTTGCTAGATTCAAACAGTTTTGATATTGTCATATGGCCTCAATACACCTGGAGGTCCGCCAAAGCTGCCAGTAAATTTGCCACTTAGATTTCCGGCTGTTGTAGTGGCAAGAACTGGTGTACGATTGGTCGAGGCCTTGTTATAGCTCTGTGTAAACGCTGTTGAAGTTGCTGTGGCAAATCCAGATGGTTTTCCACTGCCTCCTTGTGCTGCCAAAACACCTGGTGGACCTCCAAAACCTCCAGTGTATTTGCTGCCTACACCACCTCCGACTGTTGTGGCAGCGCTGGATGTAAAGCCGGACGTGGAGGAGGCCGTCACAAAACCTGATGCCGCACCAGACGTGGTCAATTGATTAAAGTTTGTGCTAACGGTTGAAGGTTTCACAAAACCAGATGTGCTGCCAAATGTATCTGAAATGGAAAAAATATATAAATAACAATAATTGAAATGGTTTGGAAAACCCAAGGGGAGTTCACAGTGTTTTTTTTTTTTTGATATGTGAGTGGAAGTTTTTTTGGGAAACATATCCATGGTTTTGAGAGTTTGTCATTTATTTTTTAATATTTTTACGATCTCGTACTTTTTGGGTGAAAGTGAAATTAAAAAATGTAACACAAGTAGTGATACCTTAGGAGACTTTTGATGAATCAGTCCTTCGATTTGTTTCGATCAGCTGTTTTGTTCTGAGACGACATTTCTTTAACTCGGTTGGGGTTTTTTCCAGTAAAGAGATATTCCCCTTTTCACACTATGACGTAAATAAATATTGTGAATTTTAATCATTAATCCGACAATCAGCTGATCATTAAATAAAAACATTTAAGATTATTGAATATGTTGTTGACAAAAATCGACTAATAACTGAGCCTTTTTTTCTCTGGATGCCTAAGGAGTTTTGGTAAATCTTTTAATTGTAGTTGCCAATTTCATATATATACTGTATTTAATGTAAACATAGCCAATCTATTCATAAACATTCGCACGGAGATCATTTTCCCTGGAGATCATTTCCCCAATCATGAATAATTGAGGAGAAATAATTTGCAAAAATGGCAACGCTGAAGCGAGACTTTTTTGTATCTAGTGTACCCTAATACTACTCGCACCTGAGACGTTTTCGTACCTTGTGTACCCTATTTGTCGTGCAAATTAGTGCAATTTTAATGAGCTTTTGTTTTTCATAAAAAACAACTAATTTTCAATATTAAAATTCGTGTTGGATGTTTGAAAACACCTCAAATTACTGAATATTATATACATCCAGTAATTTGAGGTGTTTTCCAACATCGGCTGCTTTTTGTTAGAAAAATTTTTTCTTGAGGAATCTTGAATTCTCCCTTTCCACTTTTCCTCCCTCGAAAATATTTTCCGATAGGAATTCTAATTTAGGGTTATCAAAAAGGGGAAACGAGAGAAATTCCGCTCGAAATTCTTATTCATGATTGGATGGAAACTTCATGTAAAATTTCTTCACTTACCCTTCGATATTGTATTACCAGCATTACTTGTTCCGAAATATTTCGATGTCGTCGATTGTGTGGCTCCAGTGGCGCCTGATGCCGCAGCTCCACTCAAGAAGATATTATTTGTTATGACTTTACCATCTTCGCTTTTGCTAAAGGTCGTCTTAGTGGGTACCGGTGCCAGACCATTGGCTGTATTGAATGGCGGGAAGGACTCACGATCGGCACTTAGGGGGACCTTTTGCAGACTATCCCCATTCAAGGCGGACGGTGAAACAGCCGTTGTCGATGCTGGCGTTTCAAAACGGGCTGCAAAATTTGTGGTAAAACTTGTTGAGGTCGTTTTGCTATCATTTGCTTCGACCTCCTCCTCCCCTTGGGCAGGCGGTGGCGGTACGAACACATTATGCGGTTGCGTTAACGTATTATCAATCCGGTCGCTAGCAATGGATGGTAGTGGAATGGTTACTTTAGATGGAATAGAAGAAGCTGAGGTTAGAGAAGTGGTGGTAGAAGAGAAACTTGGCAGTGCATTGGGGGAGTTCGAGGTGGGAGAAGATGTTGAGGGTGGTGAAATGTCATCGTCAACGGACATTTCCTCATCGTTGGGATCGTAGACGAAGGGGACACCGGGACCGAGGTCGGCATAGTCGAATTCAGCTAACCATGGGGGAATGGTTGCTTCAAACGGATTCACATCCAGGGGTGAGGGTGTTGTGGTCGTGGTGGTTGTTGTGGTAGTTCTTCTTGTTGTAGTTGTGGTCGGTGCCTTGGAGAAGGGCTGAGGATTATAACTACCACTGAAGAAGGGATTTGAGGGCTTGCTAGTGGCCTCTTCGCTGCTGCTGATTTTGTCTGTATTGAAAAGAGGTCGATTAAAGGAGCTATTTACTGTGGTTTTGGGCTTAGCAGTGGTGGTGGTGCTGGTAGTGGTAGTACGGGGTGCAGTGGTCGTGCGTCCATTGAATGAAGTGCTGGTGGGTGATTTAAATGTCTGACTCGAAAAGGAGGTGAACTGATTGAATGAACTTGAGGGCCGAGATGTGCTCGATGTTGTGGGTTTGGCCCGAACCCAGTGCGGTTGAGAGCTTGAACGTGTAGTTGTAGTCCTTGGCGTGGTTGTGGTTCTGACAGTTGTTGGCCTGGGAGTTGTTGTCGTTCTTCGGGTTGTTGTGGTAGTGGTTCTTCGTGTCGTGCTAGTGGTTGTTGGTCTGGGAGTTGTAGTCCGGGGTGTCACGCTGGTGGTAGTGTAGGCAGATGCCACATCGGTTGGTGGTGTTAAATTCAAAACATTCAGATCTGTATAGGGTTCTAGGGGAGGTAAAATGTCTCGGGCAATGGTGTCATTGTACTGGCTAAGGTCTTCAGGTGGAACATAGGCTACAGCCACATCTAAGTCTGGATCGTCAATGTCGGCCAACCATTCGGGCAAAGTGTAGGAGTCACCACCCTCCAATCTTAGGAATTCCGAGGTATCGGGTTCAGGTGTTGTGGTAGTGGTGGTGGTGGTAGTAGTTGTTGTTGGTCGCCTGGTAGTGGTCGTTGTGGTTCTGGGTGTAGTTCTCCTGGTTGTGGTGGTAGTTGGACGACGAGTCGTTGTTGTCGTTGGGCGCCGGGTAGTTGTGGTAGTAGTAGTTGTTGTTGTTCTAGGAGTTGTTGTACTGCTCGAATAATATGCACTACCACTGGTACTTCCAAAAGGCTGACTAGTTTTGGAGACAAAACTGGTTTGACTAGTACTTAGCTGGGAACTGAATTTCCGCTTGTCAACATCATTTATGACAGCTGGATCTTCCTTTGATGGCGGCAACAAATCCCAGGCAATAACACTCAATCCATTGCCCTCGCTTGGAGTATACTCCACCGGACCACCAATATCCGGATCATTCAGGTCAATTATATACTGCGGTAATCCCTGGAAGAGTCCATTACTATCGGGCGCCGTTTGCGCAACCTGCTCCTGATGGGCATTTGCCACTTCAACCTGGTCTGAGGGACTGGTAAATGTGGTTGTTTCCGAGCTGTCATCGTTCGGAACAGCGACGGCAATGGGATCTAGGGTGGGAAGGGGATTATGATATTTAGAGGCAATACGTTCGATAATAGATATATCTCTGGGTACATTGGGATAGTTGAAGTTACCACTACTCAGAGGAGGACTATATTTTTTGGGTGCTGAAAGCTGAGATAAACTAGAGATAGAAGTAGTAGTAGGAGTTGTGGTAGTGGGTGAAGAGCTAGAAGATGAGCTAGATGATGCTGATGAATTTTGGGGTAATGAAGAATTCGATGATGGTGGTGGTGATGAGGATGGTGATGATGATGTGAATGAGGATTTTCCAATTGCGTCTTGTTGTTGGTGAACACCATGTTGATTTGAATGCGGTTTGTTGTTGTTGTTGTTAGTGCGATTATTAGTGTTTGTGTTCTCATTCGAGTGAGGTGACGCAACGTGCATATGTGTGTTCGTGTCTTTTGGCTCATGCCGTTCAATCCGCAACAGATCACCGGGATCACCAACAACAATAGAGGCATTTTGATGCGCCGCATTCGACTCAAACGGCGTTATGGCATTACTACTGTCATCGTCGTCGTCTCTGTCGTCGCTGTCGACATTTTCTTTCACACTTGTATTAGTTGGTTTCTGTAAATCATTGCTAAACTCACCAATGAATGGTGGCAGTAAATCATCAGAGGGTTTCTTTAGCTCTGTGATTCCCGATGCATAATTTGGAATTTCGAATTGCAGACCTTGAGCGCTAATCACCTTGCGACCATCGGGCGTTCGAATGGGTTTTAATGATTCAATCGGATTGCCATAGCTATCGAAGGCGTTCTTTTCATCGACCTCGATGAGAGGTGGTTGCAAATCAGCTGGGAATGGCCGTACAAGTGTGTCTGAAAATGAATTTGGTTTTTTTTTTGTTTTGGTTGGAGGGAGGGTGGAACATTTGAATTATTATTGGTTTTGAGAGAAAGAGCATTTTTTGTGAAAACAGAAGTGACAAACCCACACAAAGACAAAGAGTAAGTTGTCAGTATGGTAGTAGGTAGGTAGCAGGAAATGTTAAAGACAACATTTAAACAATGATAGCGAAAGGTTAGATAAACAACAGAAACACAAAGAAAGTAATCATTTTAACGTTATGATCGAAGTTTTTTTTGTAAAGTTTGAGAAATTAAAGAAAAAATGGTTATAACATTAAAAGGGGAAACACACACAAATAAATGGGTAATGAGAGAAAAATTAAAGTTAAATTAATTTAAGGCACATTCAATGTTAATAGAAAACAATTAAACAAAAGACATTTTAACCATTAGCATTTAATAGGCTTTTAAATGCGTATCATACACCTTAAGCTGTTAATTTCGCCATGTTTCGTATGAACATTGCATTACAACGATATGGCAACACAGAGATTTTACAAGTTGTAGTATGTTCCCACGGGATAGATTTTGTGATACATCAATTATAAATGAGGTCGTAATTTACTTGTTTTGCACGGGTGCCCTCTATTAATGTTTTTAGATATTATTTGCCGGTATTTTATTTTAAATAAATTCATCCAACCATGTCTTTGTTGTGTTATAAAGTATCCCATGAAATACTTAAGGCAAACATTTATTCCTAACAATCATCATATCTTTTTTTAGGGAATGATTACCGATGACTGACACTTATTAATACTTTGGGTAGTTTACTTTACGTATAATTAAAAACTTTAAATTATGCATTTACCCTTAAGGGTGATCACCCCTAGTAATAACATTAAAATGGAGACGCACACAAATAAATGGGTAATGAACGAAATTATTTAAAGCCATTAACTTAAGAAACATTGAATGTTAATAGAAAACAATACAACAATAGACATTTTAAGCAATTTTTAGCATTTCATAGGCTTTTAAATGCGTATCATACACCTTAAGCTGTTAATAACTTGGTTTCGCCATGTTTCGTATGAACATTGCATTACAACGATATGGCAACACAGAGATGTTACAAGTTGTAGTATGTTCCCACAAGATAGATTTTGTGATACATCAATTATTAATGAGACCATAATTTAAATTGCAGCGATATCCTCTATAAATGTTTTTTTCTTGGCTTAACTACATTATTTGCCGGTATTTCATTTTAAATAAATTCATCCAACCATGTCATTGTTTTATTACAAAGTATCACATGAAAAACTTAAGGCAAACATTTATTCATAACATTCATCATTCCATTTATTGGAAATGATTACCAATGACTGACATTTATTAATACTTTGGGCAGTTTACTTTACTTACATTTAAAAAAAAATACACAGGGTTTTAATTATGCCTTTACACCCTAAAGGGTGATCACACCTAGTATTTTGGCACGTATTTGTTTATTAACGCTGGCATTTCCTACTGAAGTGTCTGTTTGATTGTTATCTTTTTGTTGTATCAAAACTGAAATGTACATTGAACTTGACTTCCTTGTGTACCTTGTCTTTTGCCGGCGTTTCTGCTTCTTCAGGCTGAAAAAATGCCACTCATTATGAAAAGAAAAAAAAAGAAGGCAACATGCTGCTGTAGAGGAAGCATATCAATTTTGATGGATACACGTTAATGTCTACGGTTTGTTGACATCTTCCGTAGTTATAAATTAGCATAAAAGCTATGACAGGCTTGGCTAACTGAATGAATGGATGAATGAACATTTTTTAAAAATAAAAACGAAAAAGGTTTGATCATTACTTTTAATCAAATACATCAAAGAAATGGCGAGGCACAAATGTTACATGACAAAGCCGAGAGATCTATTCAGTCAAGCAAGTCAAAGGAGACACAAATAAATAAAAATATTTCAGAAGAAATATAACAATCACATTTTGTTACTTATATGACAGTAAAAATGTTTAGCGGGTTTCTTTATGAGGTTTGTAACAAAAATATGATTGCCTAACCTAAATTAAATACACAAACAAATGTTGGAAACGTGTCGGGAAATGGAAACTTTAAAGGTGAGAATACATAAAACCCTGTTTTGAGTGGTTTAAGTCATCGGCTGACCTCTATAAGAAAACAGCAACATCATCAGAAATGGTTCGAAAAGTAAAGAAGCGAATTGATCGAAACCCGCATCGCAGTGGCCGAAAAATGGCTCGGGAGCTGACATATCGCAATATTCCATTCGGCAAATATTGAAAAATGAATGGAGCTCGGGGTAAAGCCATTGAAATACAAAAAAGTGCAAGAACTTACACCGCAACCGAAAGAAAATAGACTCAAAAGAGCTAAAGAGTTACTTCGCTTGGCCGAAAGTGGCCACCAAAGTCTCCGGGTACCAATCCGATGGACTATTGTATTTGGAGTATTTTGGAAAGCTTGGCACTAAAAAATACCAAAGTGTCAATCACTTCAAGCAATGGGAAATGGGCCAAAATACCGCAGAGCAACATTCGAGCAGCATGTGACGGTTTCATTGGCCGTTTGAAGGCCATAATATGTGCCAAAGGCGACCAATTCGAACAAATCTAAACTTATTTGTATTTAAGAACATCAGACACTTGCTGTGTTGCCAGACGTTGCCACTACGTCTTTATGATTTTTCATTCAAAATTTTAAAATTGGTTTAACAGTTCATTGTCCCAGCAGCTGTGTCGATGCGACTGCCTTTATTGTTCTACCATGACATTTCAGCTGTGAAATGCATAGGCGTTTTTCGATCACAGCGAGCCCTATTTTCAACGAAAAATTAAATTTAATCAGAGGTACTGTTTTCTTGGTTGTGTGAAAATATATAAAATTTGATTTGCGGCAAGAATTCAGCTATAAAATATTATAATTTTAAACAAAATACAATATAATCATAATGTAATCAAGAGTGATGGCAACAATTATGAATCATATGTTAAATGACAATGTTGCCATACACATGGAAATACACACGGACAATAAAAGTGACAGCACATATGTAAAACCCATTCCGTCTGATTATACCTTAAGAACACATCGTCTAATAATCATTACGACTGAAAATTAATATTCAATATTTTTTTGGAGTGTAACTTTTTTAAGGAAAAATTTTTCTTCGATATTGCTTTCTAATAATGTAATGTGTTATTGCTTAAAATTGTGTCTATTAGTGTTTTTCCAATAAACAATTGTATATGGTTTTGTTGTTTTTGTTCCTGCAAACTATTGTATGTTAATTTCTATTTTTTTTTCATTTAACACGAAATTTCCATTTTCAGTAGCAAAATTTATAAATTAGAGGTCGTTGAAATGGCAAAACACTAAGCAAAACAACAACAACAACACCAACAATGCCACATTCAAAATCTCTACACATTAATTATATATTGTTGGTTTGTGATGATTGAATTGCTTTTTTTTTTGGCAGTTTGGGGTTTTTCTACTCGTGGATACAGTATTGAAATTAGCCGAAAAAAAACACAAAACTTGCATTGACCAGGCGTTAATATGCATGTGTGTATATCTGTATATACGTTTTTCGATGAGAATTCACTGCCAATGGTCATAACAAAATAAACTTGTTATTGATTCATAATTATTGAATTTCTCAGAGACAAGAGCTATTATGATAATGGCAATCATTTAGATATTAATTGCAAGCGTGTTTGTCTACACATTTATAAATAGCTACCTATATAATTATATGCATATATATATTTCTTTTATGCCATATGTGAGAGGGCAGAGTATCATGGTTAACACAGCAATTCCATTAAATGTGTCTAATTTTTAATCTATTACGACAATATTGCGGTTACTTCGCTCCAGTAATATCCAGAACACTCTCGACACACTCTCTCTCTCTCTCTCTTTTACCGGTTATGTCCAAAAAAAGTGACACACATACTATGTTCACAAGCCAACTTTATGTGTGGCTTGACCCCTTTATTGGTTTCCTGTAAAATATTGTCACGTGTGAACCCTCTTCTCTTCCCTTTTCTCACCTCATTTATAATGGTAACCATTGTTGGAAATCTATTTGTTTTCTTTTGTTTATAAACAAACATTGACATGTTGACACATTTTCCATTTTTATATTCCGATTTTTTTTTTCGTATTAAATTATCATAATTTATTTTGCAATTAGCCAAGAACAAGGAATGTTTAATGAGCTCAACAGTACTAACTCCATAAAAAATACGAGTTTAGCTGTGCTTGGAATTTAAATGAATTCCCATAGATGTCAAAAACGCAATAGCTCTTGATAAATCAAACCCCAAAAAAATTTTATTAAAAGTGTTTCGTTTTTTGTTTATTTTCGAATAAAGCTTGCATTTGCATTTCATAAATCATTGGCAGTAATTGCCTAATTACTACCGATGCAGAGGAATTTAAAAATGATGGTCATATGATCCAAATACGTGATCTGAAAATATTCCTTTATTCAAACAAATGAGTCATTCTCTCTCTCTCTGCAGCTGGCGCTAAGTATTAAAGACAAGTTATGCATTTTTTGACAAAAATATGGATAAATATGATAATAAATTTGTTTATTTAATTGTACCGGTCAGTAATTGTTGTCCCAAGTAGGATTTTAAGTTATTAAGTGTTGATATTTATTACAAAAAAGCAAAAACGACGACAAATGTACTTTCAAAAACACCAAACTTCAAATGTTTTCCGATACATTTTTCGTCAATGTACAAAAACCCGAGTCATTTGTTTTCCAAGAAAAATTTTTAATTACAACTTACAAATGTGCTTAATATTAAAAACGTGTCACTTAAATTGTCATTGATTATATGATATATTTTCATAAAATGTGTCACTTAAGGCAGAAACAGAATGGACGCTTCAACGCGTTGTTATGTTCAGCTGTTCAGAATAAACACAAAATATTACCAAATAATCAGGGTAGAAGAATACAGGTAGACCCATCAACGCTT